AGCAACTATGATGAGCTTTTTCAAAAGTATTCTTCTTGGAATTCAATTAACTTTTGTTTCTGCAAGACTTTGAAGATGTGTAGTAGTATAGTCAGTGCAACTATAGTTGACCTGTGGTTTGGTTGATTTTTGCATTTTTAAAGAGTGATAGAATCATTTATAAATGCCCAAATATTCCCTTGGGCTTCGCTTTGTCTCGAAAAGGGATTGAGCGAGTGTGTTTAATTATATTAGCAGTATTATCTTCAGTTAAATGTTTATATTTATTAAAAATTCTTGATTATAAATTAGGACAATATGTCTCTTTTGTTATTAATTTACAAACTATGGCAAACAACAGTCGTGCCAACTACATATCATTTCGAGCCGTTCTTCAGAATTGCCTTTGACACTTTGACCACTTTGTTCACTGCTGTCGTGGACAGGAAAAGTGTTCTCTGTGGCTTCAACTTTAGTGCTGGGAATAGGAAAAAGTTTTGCAGGATGACAAATATTAGCTATATTTTGTGTGTGGGAACTAAAATTTTTTGTCAAAAACTCAATTGCCACATTAGTAGTTTTCGTGTGTACATTTTCATTTTGTCATAAGCAAATGGCAAACATTTGTTTTGCTAGCCATAGTGTCTAATCAAAGGGTTATGTTTATGTGTAAGTTTTTGAATATATGTACTGTACTAGTAACTTCCTGACAACAGTCAAAATCAGAAAATCATTAGTACTATACTGTTGACCAGAAAAAAAAATCAAATGTTTTGCCTCGCTCTCATAGTTTGTATTTTTTTGATTTAAATAACATTTTTATAATGTCAAAACAATGACTTATCTGTAATGTTTAACTTTTTTTTTAGATACGATTTCTTCTTGGTATCACAGAGTGTTCGACAAGGGACGGTCTCTCCAACACAATATAACGTGATATTTGACACTAGCGGTTTGTCTCCCGAACACATTCAACGACTGACTTATAAACTAACTCATTTGTATTTCAATTGGCCAGTAAGTAATATTTTATACTGCACGTTACATATTTTAATAATTTTTAACACGTTACTTAGAATTACAACTTGAAAAAATTTGGATAAATAGGCAAAACAGCCAGAATATACCTTAAATGTTACTAAAAGCAATATTTATTTCATTGATTTTGCTGCATCATGAATTCTCCCTTCAATTCGAGAACAGTTTAGGAGTTAAAATCATTTCCATTCGCTGATTTTTTTGAAATACTATTAAAATATTGTATTTTTTTGAAATCTTAATTTGCAGTGTTGGGCAATAAAAAAAAAGGCGAAAGGAAAGCTTTCTCTTTGGATACTAAAATGTAAAATTTTTAGATTAAACTTCCTACAGGAAAAGTTTATATAATTAAGCATTTTTACTTTCCTGGCTGTTATATATAACAGAAGAAAAGTATGGCAATCGGGCATAAAACGACCATTCCCGATTTTTACATTTTTCAACTTTGGACATCCGAAAACATCGAAATGCAAAAAAAAAAAATGGGGGGAAATTAAAAAACCCGGGAAGGTAAGTTGGGAAGGGGGGGCACAATTTTGTTCACCCTATTTGAAGCTTAAATTAATAACCCCCTTTTTTTATCGGAAATTTCTGAAATTTTACAGGTAGGTTTGTTTATTAGGGAATTGATGCTATTAAATATGTTCTGGGAAAGTCGAGCAACTCCTTTCATCAAACAATAAACCAGCATGAGAACCATTAAGAAGAACGAAGTTACTATTAGAAAATGTTTTGTTTCTCACACAAAATTAAGTACTAAATTGTTACCATAAACAAAATATATTTTAAAAACAAATGCCACCAATAACGTAGAAAATAACTGTCAAGAAAGAATACCAGTATATGGAAATGCCATAGTCAGATTAAAAATTGGGACCCAATTGCATCTGCTGGGTGGAACAAAATTTGCAAATTTTTTGCAAGTAAATGTTGGCTAGTGAGATTTCTTTAAAGTTATCCACTTTGTAATATAGAGATTAAAGGTATAATTGCATCTTCAGATGAGCCGCTGCCAAAGAATTTGCTTTAAAATTTAAGTGATGGAGTTTGGAATGGAAACAAAACTAGTCTTTCTTTCCTTTTTTCTTCTGAAAATGCCAGCTAGAATCAATGTAGCAAAATCACTGAAAATCGTTAGTGGATGGAAGGTGTCCCAGTACACCGGTAGTTTTTTAAATGGCAAACAAAAATGCCCAAGTGAGAACCAAAATTTTTACCAATTAGTTTGATAAATGTTTTATTTCCAAGATGAGACGTTTTTCCTTTCTAATTAAACTCAACCGATCGAGTTCTGTTGTTAGTGCTTCTGGTCATCCAAATGCGCAAGGATTTTTATTTTCCTTTTGCACGATTTCCTCAAGTGTGCGAGGCCAGACAGAGGATGCACACGCGCGACATTGCAACGAAAAGCAGTGTGACACACAAGCGTTCAGTATTTAAGATGGCGAACGATACCGACACTGCCCTCATCCACGTGTTTATAGATTTTTTTGTATGGCTCGCTTTATTTAGCTAGAAAATTTTGGATTAAAGACATTTTCTTGACCTTTTTGTTCTTCCTCCTTTGGAATATTCTGTTGCTTAGTTAGATTCCAAAGTCTCTCGTTTAAGAACCTTAAACCAAACAATTTAATATAATATCGTTGAAACTTGTAAACAAAGATCAATTAACTTTGTGAGAAAATTGCTGCCACAGTTTTATGTAAGTGGACAATCAAATTACAAGTAGATTATATTAAGCTTTTATAAAATTGTTAAAAATTTATATATTTTTTAAGAAAGTAAGTACTTAACATATATTTTTTTTTTATAGGGAACAATCAGAGTTCCGGCTCCTTGCCAATACGCGCATAAGCTGGCCTTCCTTTCGGGACAGTCGCTTCATAAGGATCACGCCGAACAGTTGGCAGATACATTGTTTTACTTGTGAACATTTTTAATCTGTTTTAACATAATCCTTTCTTTTAAGTAAAGTTTTATGATCTAAATACAAGTTGTATTTCACCTGTAATCATTTATATTTGTATTTTCATTTGAATTGTTAAAAAAAGAACTGCGTAAGCAGTTGTTTTCTCTGTATCAACAATTTTAGTTAAACTTTGGCATGAATTTCTTTGTGGTTAACAGTGGGACCATTTTGAAGAATCAAATGCATTTAAGAGGATAAAACGTTCCGCGGCTCTTAGACCGCGGTGGACGGAACCGGACTGCGCCGGTCCGAAAATCTTATTCAGTGAATATTTTTATACAATTGGTCTCGTTTACTCAGGTATTATAAAAGCAATTTTTACGATGTTATTCCAAAAATTCATTGTTCCTAAGTTGTTAGGAAAGTAAATGTCATGGAAATTGTACGTGGTTTCACACACACATTTTTATTTCTTCCTTTTGTTTACCATAATTTGAATTAACGTTAAAGCAAAACGTCAGAGGAGTTTGTTTGATAGAAAGGAATTTTATCAAATAAAAGTTGATGTTTCTGATGAAAATATTTTGGATCTGTTTCCTGCTTTTTCCGGAAGTTCAGTTGTGCGAATTAATTGTAATTCATGTTTGTCCTTTCAGTATTTTATATTCTTAAAAAAATCCATGAAATATTTTAAGTTTAATAAAGAGAATTTTATCTTTTAATGTGACTTTTTTCATCAAAAATACAAACTTCGGCACGAAATATTTTTAAAACTTTAATTTAAAATGTTAATAAGCATTTATGTAAATTAATTAAAAACCCACTAATGCGAGGTGGGAATAAGGACTTATCGCACCAGCGATAATAAGCGCAAACACCCAGGTATCAATGGAATACATTTAATAAAACGAGAAGGGGTGTACGTTAAAATTGATTAACGCGTAATAACCAAAATGCATTTCGGACTATCGGAATAATCCCTCTTCAGTTGGTATACGTATATAAAAAAGGTGAGATACTTAAAATTATACAAGACAAAGGTACGATCATTGAGCAATAAATGGGTGTAGAGGAGACACGTAATAGAGAAACTGCACCACCAATGGTTAATTCGCAGAAGAAAAGCTATTCTAGTATAACTACATAAAATTATTTTCTAAATTATCACAAATTTAGTTTGGGAATTTACCGGTAAGGAAAAAATGGCGATTTGTTTTTTTAGCTCAACCAGCCCGGTAAGGTATACACGCCGGAATGCCTACCTTGGTGGAGTAGCACTTCAATTTTAAATTCTTCGTCGCGGGATGATTGATTATACAGTTTTTACTCTAAGCTAAAAAAGCTAAAGTAACTCGTTATACCATTTGATCGTAAATAAAACACTCGTGTTCAACACCGCGTGTCGAGTAGTCAAAAATACAATCAAATCTGGTGCGGCGATGTAAAAGCGGCTTCCTCCGCGTTTATCGTCCCATCTTTCTACCTCGGGGAAAAAATACGAGGACCGACACTGGCCGCGTTATGGCTTCGTTTTGTGGTTATCGCCTTACTCCAAAACTGCAACGTAGTAAAGTATTTATTTACTTAATATAATCAAGTTTAACGCAGTGAACGGTTAATGCGTAACGTGAAATTCACTCGTAAGGTGATGCATTTTTTAATTTATACCGCCTATTTAAATTAATATTGTATAATTATACATATATAGTGTAAATTTTTGAAAGGGTGCGACGTTATTTTGTGATTAACTCTCGGTTTATCCTTACGCGAGATTGCAAATTTCTTTTAAAGATTCCGCTTGCAAAAATTAATTTCTCCCTCGATGTTTGGAAAAAGTAATTTTCAAAATTATTTTTATAAAACAAGAAAAAAATTACAAATTTTCCATTTTTTTGAGTTGATAGAAAGGAAAAAAATCAATTCAAAAATATTAATTAAAATGAATTATCGCACGAAAATGGAAGTAACTGCGCTTTAACGTAGAAGAGAGATCGATTTATTTATTACTTCCAATTAAGAAGGAAGGAATAAAAAAAATCCAAGAGATTCGTATTTAAATTTTAATTATCGCAAGAATATGGAAGTAACACGGGTGATTTGTTTTTTCTTTGTTTCGTTGAGTCGCCGTTTCCTCCAAATTTAAACTCCGACAGTGAAGCCAATGTAGCCGAGTTACGGACGGTAGCCATTTATTTCGACTTTTTTTTTTTACTCCCGCGGATACGCCGTTCTACTTAAAGATTAGTGTTTAGAACAGTGGACGGGATGCGTATAGAGTCAATAAATTCCTTCCCACCTAGAGAGTTACCGATCGCGCGTCACTACCAACAACAGAATTAGAAAGTCAGCTCTAGGCGTGACCAGACTGTATCGATCGTTACGATCGATTCTCGAGTACAGTCTAAGCCATTTCTATCTGGCATGTCGTCCTGCACCCCCTTAAAAGAAAAGTGACTTGTCAAACGTTCGAGTGTAATTAAACACTCTATAACGTCTCTACTAATGTAAGGTAAGTTCTCTCGTGTTTCTCCGGCAATCCTCGCTTTAAATTTAAGGTTTACTTGTGCCAAAATTGATTGGTCTTTATGGAAAAGGTCGTCTGCGCTTCCCTCCGACAGTCGGGATTGATGGATTGTAAAGGGTACATTTTTACGCCGTCCACCTTTATTGCTCGTTTGCGATACGTTGTCATTTGCTTAATAAGGAAAATCGTTCGTTAATATTTGGATTTTTGTGGTTTTAGTGAGGGTTTAACGCCGCGGATTTAGTGATTTGGTAGATTATACAATGTGTAGTTCGATCCGTTTGTATCAAAAATTGGGTATAAGCGGATGGCGATTGCTTGCACATCGATCTTTTTTAGGGTGTGGATTAAATGAGAACTGCACCGTGCACATTACGTTACCTGAGGTACAGTACGTTGCTGGTATTGTGTGCCATTAATCGTTGGAGCACTAAATATAATTATCCTACGAGCATTTAAATACGTTTATTGCGTATTAATTATTATAATTAAGAAATTTATTAACATATCTGTAATATATATATATTAGGATCTTAAGTAATCGAGTTTTGTTAATTTAGATTACTTTAATTGTAAGTTACCTTACTGAGCGGGAGAAATTGCTTATGTATGAAGCTATTATGTAGAAATATTGCATTTTATACTTAATTACTACTAAATTATCTTATATATTTAATTAGAGAGTATTTTTAATGATTCTAGCGTGTTTAAAAACTATTATCCTAATTAACTAACTGAAGAGAAATTTTGCATTTTTTGCTTAATTGTTGACTTATGTAAGTTAATTAAAAAAGCAATAACATGGTTTTTCGTCGAGTTAAAAGGGTTATCCGGTGTCTAAGCACTTAGAATCATTGAAAATATTCTATTTAATCACCTCGTAATTAATCGCAGCCATTAAAATATCCTCTAATTACGATGCACGCCTACTGTATTAAAGAACTATTGTACTCGTATAGTAACCACCCACAGATTAATGCTAATTTATTTTCTTGTATTTTTGCAGGTGTTCGGACAAAATGGAAAAGTCGTGGAAAGACATTGAGCAGAATTTCTATTCCGCTTGAACAATTGCACGCAACGATGCTGTCGACTCCAATAATGAGATCGAGTGAAACGCTTTTGACCCCTCGTCCAATCACTAAAGCTGTTTCGAAAACCAGAAATAACCCGGAAAACAATGCGTCGTCCAATCGGCATTCGCCTCAAGAACAACGATTGACAAAAAATCAACTAATAGGATGGACCGTTATATTAGGCATATCGTTTACTTTCGTGTGTACGTCGTTCGCGGCGTTACAAAATATTTTAAGTTCTTTGTTTATAGAAAGTGGCATCGGTGTTAAATCACTAATCTGCGTGTACGCTGTGGCTGCCATATCACCCCTCTACAGCCAATTCTTCGTCAATAGATTAACACCCAATTGGGTCATTGTGGTATCTTTCGTCATGACGGCCCTATATATCACCGTTTATTTTTATCCTCGTATATATACCCTTACGGCCGCTGGTATACTTTTAGGTCTACTTTTAGGCCCGCTACGCTGCGCTTCGACGTCATTTCTGGTACAGACTGCTGGTAAATTGACAGCTTCCTCTACAGACGTCAGCCGCGAGTTAACGATAAGACGTCAGTTCGGGCACTTCACCATTTTTATCAACTCTGGTCAAGTATGGGGTAATTTACTGACGTCGTTGTTGCTTCACTACGGCGACGATATTTATATCTATCCGACCGGCCCTAAACTTACTAATGGTCCGAGTTCGGACTTCTCTCCACCTGTAAATGTTGCCAATCCGTCTTTATCCCGAACAATGGTCAATCCGTCTTTGTGTAACGCCGATCATTGTAAGAAGTGGGAAGTGTTTCGAAATTCCATACCATTCGCCTTCATCGTGCCTTCTAACGTCTCTTTGATGTTGATAAGTGTTTATTTAGGTTTAGCATTTGTTGGTGTGGCTTTAGCAACTAGTCTTCTGGATAAATTTGACATACGAGAAGAAGGAGCGGAGAGAGTTACATTTGTAGAAACAGCAAAAAGTTACCTTCTCTCCTTTATCGATCCTCAATTGAGATTGGTTTTTCCACTTATTTTCTTCTGTGGTCTGCAGTACGGTTTTATAGTTGCCGATTTTACAAGGGTATGCGCTTTGTTTTAATTATTTCACTAATTTTTAATTGAATTTAACATTTATTCTTCATTTATTTCTAGTCTTACATCAGTTGCTCTTTAGGAATGGAAGCCGTAGGTTATGCCTTGATGATAATGGGATTGACACATACTTTGAGTGCTTTCCTTGTTTATCAGGTACCTAAATGTATCAATCGATTAATAATTGCATTCGTGGGGTTTTCGTTTCACGGAGGACTGCTTACAATTTTATGGTTATGGAGACCTATCAAAGAAGATATTGTAATATTCAATATCATCACAGCCGTTTGGGGAGTGTGCAGCGCAATCTGGGAGGCACTAACTACGTGTAAGCGCCATTCTTTTATGATTTTATAACAGTAAATTCAATTAATTATCAACTTTTTATTTCAGCTTTTATCATCAAGACATCCGGCAACGATCTCCATCCCGCTTTGCTCTCCCATTACAGTATTTTGAGCCTGGCTTTGTCGTTGGCATTTGCATCCAGCTTTTATCTCTGCACCGAAATTAAATTGTATATTTTAATATCGACGCTCATTTTGTCTATTGGACCATACAGTTTGGCAGAATATCGTCTTCATCAGCAAAATAAAACTCAAGAAAGGACAGCTGTGCTGTGACATATAATAAGTAATATCGTACGTGTTGTTTCGTGTCTTGTGAAGCACAGAATAAACATACATATCGGTCACAATGCAAGTTTAAATTCATGGCAGAGATTTTATCGTGTTTCATGCTGTCTTGTAAATTTTTCTTGGTTGAAGAAAGAAAAGATGTTGAAGAAAAAGTGTAAATAAATATTCATAAAAATTACATTTTCTCAAATTTTTTCCATTTTAAAATATTTACCACCCGAACAATATCGTTGGTCTTTCGAGAAAATTGAATCCTTCTTTTGAATTCTTCTTCTAACAAAAACTGATTAAAAATTTCAGATTTTTATGTTTAAAGTTTGAGATTCAATTTTCTGTTTGTTAGTAAAATTAAACAGTATTTTATTTTGTAAAATTATCAGTAGCAATATGATGCCGCTTTATTGGTTCATTGTTTCGAGCTAAATGGTGAGGGACTGAAAAATTCCGTCTGGATTCGATCTCCACAGCGGTAGGCTGCCACTTTGACAGTGGCCATCCGGCCATCTAAGATGTATTGTGTTATATAACCCCTTTGCAATTGTATTCCTCTTTGTGGTAATGTGTAAGAGGAGATGATGTTTAATTTTAGTTTAATTTGATGAGATATTGCGTCGCAAAACACGAGCGGTCTGTCGAGAGGAAATCGCTCCCACGAGGTTCACCAGAACGAACACTGGGAGTTCGGTCGCGGGTTCGCGCCTGGCTCGGACGGGCTGGCCACGTGGACTTTCCGGGTTTTCTCCACGTCCCTATTTAGCTGGCCCCTATTTAGGCGTTACGCCTAAATAAGGGCCAGCTTCCCTTAAAAAGGCATCCCCCTAGGCAGATCACCCAAATGTTGCGTTGCCATAACTAAACAATCGCTCCCACGAGATCTTTCTTTGAGAAACTGGTACGTATTTAGGTGTTAGACAAGAAAAGAAAACCCCAAGCGGCCGCCCGTTGGTCAGGGGCGACACACGCGACTGATGCTGAGCAGTTTTATCCACTCGATCACTGGTGAGAATGATGGTAGTGATGACGAAACGTTCATTTCGGCTAATACATCCGGATAGAATTCGGGTAAGTCGAAAATCCACAGGAATTTTTCGAGGGTGGTCTCTCTCGGATATGTTGGGCCCCAACCGTTCCATTATGGGCCTGATAGAAAAAAGGATAAAACCACAGAACACTCCAATATTCAGTAGTTTTATCTTCGTTAGTCCCGTCGTTTGGAAGTTTGCGGTACTTTCGTGTTTTCTCCGCGCATCTAACACCTAAATAGGGACCAGTTTTCCGTAGAATGTCCTCTCTGGATATACTGTTTACAGTATTGCTAAACCATCCCGTCACTCCATCATAATCCTACTTAGACATTTAAACAGATTCGTGACTCAATCGACTCGAATAATTATGTATGAACGAGAAAAAACTGTGCGCAAAATTTAAGCTGGATTCGTTATAATTTTTATTTACAAACACAAAAATTATTATTCTATTCTTGTAACAATACATTAGCTGTAATTATAATAACAATGGTTATAATTAAGAGTTAAGAAGAATGGAATCAGCAAATGTATTGCAAGTTAAACCAGAAAGTATCATAGGTGGAAAGTATACTTTATCGAAAAAATTAGGAAAAGGCTCCTTCGGAGATATTTACATCGGGGAAGATCGGGACAATGGCGAAAAAGTAGCGATTAAATTAGAAAGAAATTGTATTGGAAAGCCTTCTAATTTGCTATCGGAGAGCAAGATTTATAATATTTTAAAGAAAGGAACCGGAATACCTGACATAAAATGTTACGAGTGCAATAATACGCGTTACAACGCTTTAGTTATGGAACTTCTGGGACCAAGTTTAGGAGACTTGTTTGCCTACTGTAACTACCGGTTTAGTTTAAAAACGGTTTTAATGCTGGCTAATCAGATGATTTCTCGTTTAGAGTACGTCCATTCGAAGAATATTATCCATCGCGACGTTAAACCGGATAATTTCTTGATGGGTTCCTTCAATTCTTATGATACGGTGTATTTAATTGATTACGGGTTAGCTAAACAATGTACATTTAAGCCTAAACGTCTTAATTACGGTAGATATAGAAAGATTGTAGGAACAGCGAGGTATGCTAGCATTAATGCTCATCGAGGGATCGAGCAAAGTCGTCGCGATGATCTGGAATCGCTAGGGTACGTGCTCATGTATTTCAATCGAGGAAATCTTCCATGGCAAAATTTACACGCTGTTACAGCAATACAGAAATGCGAAAGAATTTTAGAAAAGAAAATCTCAATTCCTATAGAAGTATTATGCAAACACTTTCCCGAAGAATTTGCCATTTATCTGAAGTACTGTAGGAGTTTAGGATTCGAGCAGATACCCGACTATACGTATCTTCGTACATTGTTTTCTACATTGTTTCGTTCGCTAAATTATTCTTACGACTACAATTACGATTGGAAGAAGTCTAAGCAAAAATACAAGAGTTTTTCTTCAAGCAAAACAAAGGAAAAATCCATTAACGATACATACGTCGGCGGCGATTATTAAACGCCAAACAATTCGAAATTTAAAAATGAATTTTTATAAAATTATATAAATAAAATATATTATAAAATTTTTATCGAATATAAATAAAATAGTATAAACTCGAATTTAATCTTCTGTTATTGTGTTTTTTAATTAATATTTTATTAATTAAAACAAGGTGTAAGTCAAAATTCATATTTTTTCGAGAATTGAGTTAATAAAACAAAAAATAATTTGATATTAATTAAATAAATAACATAAAAATAAATAATAAATTAATAAACCCTTTTAAAAATTTAATTTATTCGTTATAACTTTAAATGAAAATGCAACTTTCCAGACGTACTGTACGTTATGAACTTTGATCAAACAGTGTTGCCCTCTAGTGTCAGATCGGTGAATCAACACCGAAGAAGTCATCCAAACACTAAACGGTAAATATTAATTTTTATCGCGTTTTATTGTATTTAATTAACGTTAATGGCGCCTTACCATTTTTTTTTAGCAGAGAAATGGCTAAAGAGTATGATCATCTATTCAAACTATTGATTATAGGAGACAGCGGTGAGTATTCAAATACATTATATTGTTATGAATCGGGTATTTTTACAATTCAGCTCTATTTTATGCCTACATTCACTCGTATCCTCTCCATATCAATTGTTTATACTTTAAATTTAAATCATTCTTATACAAAATAAACAAATGCAATTCTGAATGAGGAGTTTGGACCCCCTAAATTTTAGACCCCCCTAGACTGGTGGTAGAAGTAACATTTAGTTAATTTGTGTGTGTATGTTTATATATAAATAGACCTAAAAGTAACTCCTACCAATAATTACTAAAATTTAATTAAAATTAATATTTACTATTAATGATTTTGATGGCCGGGCGATTAAAATGCCACGGCGTACCTCTTCGGACGATCCGGGATTGAATCCGGACGGGTCGAACGACCCGGGAATTTTTTGGGGATGCGTCGGGCCCCGTTGCGTATCCGGCCAAACTCGGCTTGTCGGAAAGGCTTTCTCACTGTCCGCGTGGTGGTAAGAACTTAAAAAGATAAAATATTTATATGTATATACGTACACTGTTTACCATATATACATATATATGTTACCATATTCATTGCGTTTACCATATATATATATATATGGTAAATGCAATGAATTAAGGAAGGAATCTGTTAATAATTTAATAAATTTGCATGAAATTATATAAGTGATTAATTAAGAATCTGCAGATGACTCCGAGTTGTCGTGCTAACGATGGATGCGTGATAGTTAGTAGGTTCTTCGGATTTTAAGTGGACTAAATGGCGATAAGAGCGAAGATAAGATTTGTTGTTGTGTTCGAATAATAATGCACAAAAAGTACTGTCGAGTGCTCCGAATACTTGTTAAAATTTTCTATAAAAATGGAGTTTGCTGCTGTCCGGTGCTTTCGTTATTCTGGGCCGAGTAGATTTGTTAAATATATTACGCTTTGTATTAAAAAGTCTTATTTTAGTTAGTTTTTAATGGTTTATAAAGCTTATTTAAGTATTTCCTATTTTAAGTACTCAATATCAGTTGTAGATAGTCTTTCCATTATATTTTAACTGATAAAATCTACTAATGATAAATTATTCTATTAATAACTCATAAATGAATTGTTAATGATGATTTTTAACTCTATCTTATTTTAATCTGATTAGTGTAAAATATTATTCTCAAAATGAGTGTTTTACTGTAACAAAATTCTATTGTCTAAAAGCAAATAATGAATTTTTAATTGAATTATTATTTTTCTTATTATTTATTGTTCTTTTAAAATTTATAATTATTATATAAGATTTGGCAAAATAAATACTGTATATATAAAATCGATAACATATATCAATATATAACCTTCATTGTATTTAATTATAGTTCTTAGAATATTATATCTAACAGCAACTTATAAAAACAATTATATGTACCTATATATATAATTGAATAATAGTTCATGCAAGATAAAGTGTATGGCTCATTAAATAGCTGGTTAATATTACAAAAATGGCTGTTACCAAATGACAAACTGATGTCTCGAGACCCAATTAATTTGATTAAATGGCATTGCAATTATGCCATTTGGTCAAATTAATTAGGTATAGAGATAAATTAATTTGCCATATTGTTAACTGATAAAACCTTTTTGTATTATTCTGCTTCAATACAAAGATTTCACTTTTGAGGAGAACAAGAATTGTGTTATTCTATTAATTAACAAGCAGTACAGTTATTGATGGTGTAGCAATAGAATTCAAAGTCTTGGAAACAGAATAAATGAGATTTAGAAACTGTACTGTCAGTTCAGTAATCAATATTTACTTAATTTACTTTAAAATAAATAGTTTTGGTTATTGTTTTGGTATGCTTTATTTTTTAAACTCTGCACTTCGAACAAACTTGATGGGGATATTTGAAAAATCAGTCAGTCAGAATCTTGATTTTAATTCTTATACAGTCGATTATCCGAATGCCAATCAACTAAAATGTCGGTTAACCGAAAGCGTTCCAGTCGGACCGTGTCGTGCTGAATCGAACGTTTTTGATACTAAATTAACTTCTAAATTATAATTTTGTTTTCATATTTTTCAATATATCTGTTTTGTTTGTACAAAATAAAGAAATAATTTTTAATGATGCAATAGCCATAATTATTATTATAAAAATTTCATTAGGCTTAACATCGACAAAAATTCAACACGAAGCGACACGCAATGGAGAAAAATTTAAACATGGGCTATATTAATATACTATTATAGGGATATACTAATATACTATATTAATAATGTATTTTTTCATACATAATCAGTTATCCGAAAAATCGATTTTCCAAAGAACCCCAGTCCCCAATTGATTTGGATAATCGACGCTCTACTGTAATAATAAAATTCAAACTTTTTTAGGAAGTTGTATAGATTACTCCCTGTGGAATTTTGGGACTTTGAGTATATATCTAAACTTGGGACTTAGACGAGTCAATGGTACCCTACTTTTGGACCAGAGACCAAATATAAGAAAGTTATCAGATTAACAATTTCTTGCCTTTCACAGTATATTCTTTGTCTTAGATTAGGTATTCTAACCTAGAATGCACTGTAGAATAGAGTGAAATGCAACAGAATGAACTACAATAGAATAGAATGCACTGAAAGGCATTCTTCAGTACAGTGTATTCTATTCTGTTGTAGTTCAACTTAAAAACCATGTAAAGTATAAATTCAGTTGAGATAAATTGGAACAAAAGTTTAAGTGAGAAAAATTCAAATGGGATAAAAGTTTTAAAATATTTAAATATTTACACATTTATTTTAAATATGCTCATCATATCATTAAATTAACACATTTGTAGGACACCACATCATCTGGGTATAGTTACTCATATCTTGTCTTCTATGTACAGTCGACCCCCCTATAATTACGGTCCCTATAGTTACAATTCCTATAAAACTACGAAAAAATTGCTACCGGTATCCGTAAAAAATAGTAAAAGTTCCCTATAAACACCTCAAACGTCATCGGGAAGCCGAACTACTTTCCCGCCGTCCGTAGCGCCACGCTACGGAGAGATTTCTATCGTCTGGACAGTATTATATAAATTATATATAAATTAGGTACTGTACATATAATTATATATTAATTATATATAAATTAGGTACTGTATATATAATTATATATTAACTTATTGTAACTTTGTTATAATTAAATATATAATTTCCGCCGTCTAGCGTGGCGCCACGCTACGGAGATTTTTACGCTAACTATCGTCTGTCAGTATGTAAATTAGGTACCGTAAGTCTAATACAGTACTGTAATTTTATACATTTCTTGT